CATGGTGGTCGACGTGATGGTGGGTACGGCGGATGGCGTGGTGGTGGGCACGGCGGATGGCACAGCGGTGGGCACAGCGGATGATGCGGCGATGGGCGCGGCGGATGACGTGGTGGTCGACGTCATGGTGGGCACGGCGGATGGCACGGCGGTGGGCACGGCGGATGGCGTGGTGGTGGGCACGGCGGATGAAGTGGTGGTCGACATGATGGTGGGTACGGCGGATGGCGTGGTGGTGGGTACGGCGGATGGCGTGGTGGTGGGTACGGTGGATGATGTGGTGGTCGACGTGATGGTGGGTACGGCGGATGACGCGGTGGACAACTCCACATCCCCAAGCACAGGTGTTGCTGGAGTGGTTGCAGGGGACAGGGTGCCTACAGAAGGCGATGTTGAACTGGATGAAGGGGTTGCTGTTGTACGCAAGGCTCCTGTCTTCCTGTTATAGCGTCGTCTTGTCCTGGGCTGTGCAGTATCGGATGCAGGGACCAGAGGCGGGAGGTCGATGACGTCAGTACTTGCTCCCAGGGAGACTGAAGAAGGGAAGTGCAGCGGATCCGCGACGATGGCATCGCACTCCTGGATTTCGTACCAGTCTTTGATGATAGCCTTGATATCGCCAGTTTTCATATCACTTGGGTCCTCCAGGGCAACTGGAAGGTCTTTATGAACAATAAACTTAGTCGGGTCGCTCATCGTATGTTTCCAGGAGACGGATTTCTTGATGCCAGTGTCCAGCGTGTAAACCATGTTGACAAAGTTACGGACCAAGGTGATAGTGTCTTGGTTGTTCAAGTCAGCATGGTTAGCAGGTATGCGCGGATAACCGTCATCCCGGGTGGCGAGTAGCTTCTTCTTTTTGGGCAACGCTTCCGCGCGTTTCGGCGGCTCAAGTTGCCCAGTCCCTGCACAACAGCAAAGTCAAGACAGTGAAGTGGGGGCGTTCATCCGCGACTCACGCAGAAATCTCTGATCCGCGTGGACACAAAGTGTTTTCATGAAGGTACGGTCGCCTGCCTCCGCGGTGTGGTACTTCGTTGTGCAATACTCTGGGTAGCGGCGGTGAAACATGTCGGGATCTCCTTCAAAGCTATGACCCAGACTACCAGTCTGTCAGTGCATCATCCGCCGCTGAGTGGATGGTTGCAACGTACTGTAAAACTCTGGTCTTTCCATTGGACTCGAAGAGCCCAAACATTACCAGCTCCATCCCCAAGTTCCGCAAGGCGTACAGATATGTGCGATTCATGAACAATTTCGCAATCCGGTTCCTCTCTCTGGAGGTGAAGCAAAGTGAGACATGGAAAAAGATAAACGGCGGATGGAGGCGGATGGAAACACGAACGCGTCTTGGATGTTTTTGGGAGCCCCATATAGATTCCAATCTTCCGCCTGCTTATTCCATTGTTGCCGCTCCGCCTCGGTCAGATCCAACCACATGTAGGCACGAGCTCGGCTGTGATGACCAACCCACCGCGAATCGCTAGCTTCCGTTGGGCATGGCCTGAGGTCGCCTTCAGTAAGAGTGTCACCTTTGGCCGCCTTGGTGGTTTTGTACCGCTCCCATGCCTGAGGGAGGTAACGGACGATGTCCTCCTTGTGGGCGTTGCGGAATGCGTTGTAGCCAGTGTACTGCTCCCATATACTACCTTTGAGCTTTGCCATCTCTTTGTGCTCTAGCGGGGTTCCCTCACAAGCCTTGCCATCCGGGTCAAAGTATGCCCAGGTTAACTGTGCAACCATGTCGACATTTCCCCATGAGAAGAGAAATAGTATTTACTCACCTTCTCAGCCTCCTCAAAGCCAGTGGGACCGCCGTCAAGTTCTGGATGGGTTGTGACAAGGGCAGTCGCAATTGCAAAGGTTAACATGTCGAGGTTCTTTTTTCGAATCACCAGCGACGTTCCTGTAGCAAGGCCTTCCCACTCCTGACGCCAATTGTCAAGACACTGCTTCACACCCTCAGTGAGTTGAGAGTCATTGGCTGACGACGCTGTTGGAGTCTCGGAGCCACCTAGCGGAGTTTCTGTAGCGGCTGACATTGATGGAGGATGAACCCAGAATGATTGAAGAAGACAAGAAGCAAATGAGGGAACCTGCCAGGATGAGATTGTGACCCAAAGAAGAGAAGGAGACACCCAAAGGTACGAAAAAAGGAAAAGGGAAAAAAAATCACAAGACCACACAACCTTGCCGCCTGCCCAGTTCCCACGAATTCACCGGGCCGCCGTCCTTGACTCCACCGGTTACCCCCAGGAACCGAGCTACATTGGTTTTGCAAGCGAAGTCCAAATACAGGATCCGCCGACTTGCTAACCGCCGGTTCCTATTCCAGCCCATGGGAGATTTACATGTGTACCTGACCAAACCCCACATCAGTTCTGCAAGCGATGTCCACGCGATGATGGCGCGCCCAAGGTTCTCGCCCAGCATGACCGGCCCATGTTTGAAGCGGTCGGCCGGGGAGAACGTGTACTGCGTCACCTCGGGACGGATGGTAGTGGGCGCTACCGTGGGCGTCAGGACGGGCGTCGCTGCTGATTGTATACGGTGACTGGTGTTGGAGGACCTGGCGGAGGTTGGCCCAAGATCGGACGGCTGCCTGGTGACAAGGTTGACATCGAGGGCCAGGATCCGGGGCTTGTCGAGCCGCAATACAGGACACAGGATCCGCCGACATGTTACCCGCCGGATGTTACCCGCCGGTTTCTATGCGGGCCTTCGGCAGATTTACATATGTACCCGACCAAACCCATTGATTTCACAAGGGAAGGTTCAGCTACAGCATCCGCACACGTCATACCCACTGGTTTCTATCCAACCATTTACCCGATTCAATCTGTGCCTGACTATGCGATCTGAAGTAATGATACTAAATCAGATTTGACCACTTCGTCCAATCACTTCAGGGGCTCTGTTATCGATGAGAGATGATTCCCTTATCCCGATGAGACATTTGCCTGCATCCTCACTTCCTGCACCCTCGCTTCCCCAGCCCTCATTGCGAACACTCACCATATGGCTCCGCGACGCAAAGCAAAAGAGTCTGGGGAGCCTCCTGGACGCAAAGCAAAAGAGCTGGGGGATCCAACAGATGAGCCAGACATGGAGGAAGTATGGAGGACTAGGGCTGTGACGCGTCGAGGCCAAAAAGTTGAGGAGCTTTACCAAACTGAAGAGCCGATTGTCACTGGTAAGAGAAGTGCTATCCCACAACCCATTCGCCCTGTTGCAGGTCCCAGCTCTTCAGCACCCAGTCCATTGAAGAAAACAAAGCTTTTGCCAGAGGATGAAGAGAATAAGGAGGACGAGGAAATGGGGTGGTGGGGAGTTGATCAGGACGACGACATGGGCGTCCCTTTTGCTGGAATGGAGGGAGACACAAAGTCGACAAAGGTGAGAGTGCAACCCATCTGGCATGGATACTTGCACTGAGCAGGAACAGGCACAGCATGATTATTTGCGAGAATGGGCAGACAAGCACCGGGGATATGCTGATATCATTGTCTCGATGGAACAGCGATCCATGGACTATGCAAGTCAATCGGATGGACCACCAGAGCCCATGTGTCGATGGTGCAAAGCCAGGGAGCCCACCTGGAAATGCGAGGATTGCTTTGGTTTCCCTGAAGGATGTCAAGACTGCTTCTCAAAGGCCCACAACACGCTCCCGTTTCATAATGTTCTGTCCTGGACAGGTTTGAGCTCTGTGTTTATATCACTGGCATTGTATATCATCTGATGTCGACATCTCCAGGCACTCACTACGAGCCTTCGTTCTTGCACAAGGCAGGGGTTGTCATCCACTTGGGGCATGGCGGTACACCATGTCCCACACCACATCCTCCGAAAGACCCACCAACAGCTTCAGACCAATCCTCAAATCCAAGTTTTGAATCCGAACGAATCTCGTTCAAGGTAGGGCTGGGGAAGGCCTTCACCAGAAAGCATATCGACGAGGAACGTAACTCGTACCTTGTGGTGGTTGACTGCAATGGTCTCCACCAAGTTGCTGTTGACTGGTGCAGATGTTCACCAGCGGTCAATCGACGTTATGACATTCAACTGTTGCAGTCCGGCTTGTACCCATCTACACCTAAATCTCCTCGGACAGCATTCACATTCCGACTGCTGGATAGTTTCTTGCTGATGAACAGGGAGTGCAAAGTTCCCGCCATGAGCTATTTTTCTCTATTGCAGCGACAAACCTTGAGCATTGCTCCGCAGGAAGTACCTGTACGTCCTCATGGTACTTGTGCAAATTCCTTTGTTCTGATTACATGACTATTAGGCTCGTTATGTTGAACTGCAACGGTGTTCACGCCAGTGGCGGTTCATGAAGGCGCTGATAGACAATGGCCATGTTGTTGGTCCCACAGCGGCGGACGGCTTGGGAAAGGGAGGGATACAGGCAATTGGCCGAAAACTTGGCCAAGGGGCGCTTGCCACCGCATGCCCAGCTTGTCCACACCCTGGAATAAACATGGCGGATGATTGGAAGGATGACCCCGACTGGTGGGTGCATGGAGTTGAATCCGCGGATACCACTCACCTTTAATCATCAACAAACAGGTTCAAGCACGCAGCAACGCTTTGTGTAGACGGTAACTTCAAGGCGGACCACTTGCGGATGAAGAAAGAAGAAAATGACGTCCCTTTGGCGGATGGAGCCAGATACATGACCGAAAGCTCCGCTTACAAGGTGCACTTGGCGGCAAGTGAACCCAGCAGCAGACGAGAGGTAACGTTTGTTGTCCGCCGTTGCTTCATCGCTTGCCTCACAACCGCGGGCAGGTGTCGACGTGCAATGCTCACCGTGCTGTGACTCAAGCTAACCAAGGTCGAGGACTGCACAAAGATGTAAATGGGATTGCAGCCGTTGCATGTGCAAGGCATGGCTTCTTTGTTCCAGGAACCGGAGTGGATATACATCTAGGAGAGCGGTAGGCCCCATTTTTCCATCCGCCTGCATCCGCCCTAATTTTGATAGGTTTTGTACCATCGATTGGGCAATATACATGGGATCACTCTGGTTCTTGGGGCTCCTGCATTTGCTCTGGCTCTATGACATTTGGTGCATATACAATGCAAAACTCAAGCAGCGCTTTAGTGACAGTTCAACCATCTCATTCCCTCCTGGTCTTACTATTGCTGGTGGCATTGGCCAATTTCACGTTCACGGTCACAAGGGGGATTGCTATGCTCGCTATTCTCCTTTGTTCATCCTGGGAGCTGGATGGGTGGACGGCGAAATACTGGAGACACTTTGGTCCATGCTGAATGAGATTTCTCGTAGCACCCGTGCTATGACCACCTCCCACAGAAAAGAAGTCCTTGATGACCACATGGACGACTCGAACTGGAAAAAACTGATCCGTATTGGTATGTCGATCCACAGGCTGAAGACTTACTGTTGACCTCAACCGTGATTCATTTCCAATTTCCATGTAGCATTATCGCTAGCGTCAAAGTGGCGGAAGGCTGTCCAGGAGTTTGTCGAATCTCAAGACGTCCTCGCGGATCTGTCAGAGGTTGCAGGAAGTGAACGTGTTCAGGAATGGACCGCCCAGCTCGACCAAGCATACAAGGACCGCGCGGACGACGTCAAATCGATGGACATTTTAACAGTACACTTCCCCGAGGTTCCGTCCCAGGCACAAATCGAGGAAGAGCTTACAAAAAACAGCCCCCGTGCATCCGCGGTGAAGGGCATGACATCCGCCGAGTGGCTATCAGAGGGACTGAACATCGGCGTCCAACAGTACGACGTGCCAATATTGGGTGTCACGCAAATGGCTAAATCAATTTACAGATTGAGGGTCATCGAACTTGTCAAGGTGTCAGAAGGTAACGATCAAGTTGAAAGCGCACATAAAGCTAGAGAAGGCAGGCGGGCCCTTGCCAACCGGCTGAAAATCTGGTTTGCAGAAGCGCCTATATTCGTTGGTAGCTTGGTCAAATTGAACCTGGAGGAGGAGTCTCCGGAGTTGCGAAAGTTCAAGGCAGACCGACGACTGAAGGGCAAGGCAGCTGCATCCGCTGGTCCCGCTGCGTCAACGTCCACATCCGCTGCTACGTTGCCCGCTGCAACCGGGACTATCGAAGAAGGCACGAGATCCGCCGCTACCCAGCCATCCGCCGAGATGTCCGCAGATATCGATTTATCCGCCGAAGAGTTGACTTTCAGCGAGGCTCCCGAGCATGTCGTGTTGCCACTACCGTCCGCATTTGGAGCCGCGGCCTGTGAGGCACATCAACTGAGCAAATTGATGGAGCAGGAGGCGGAGCTGAGGAAGGGACAGATGAACGACCACCTCAACGAAATGAAGATTGGTATCGCTAGGAAGGCATTGGGGTGGAGCCGAGATGTCCGCGCTGCCCGTGGTAGCGTGCACCAACAAACAAGGGCACGAGCAAAAGTGCATCGCATGGAGGAAGAGCTGCGCCATCACACTCGCGTCTATCGGTCTGCTCGGGAAGCTTCAATTAGCATGGGCTTGCTTGATGAAAAGTACGAAGAGCTATTGGAAGCACACCTTAACGCAAAAGCAGTCGACTTGAATCCAGCGACAAGAGGAATCAGAAATGCTCACCTACCATGGATCTGGCGGATGCACACAGAGAAGCAGGACACGCCTGAATGGATGTTGACTTGTGCGTTTATCCCCTTGTCCTCTGCTCCCCAACTGACGCAATGGTAGTTGCTCGGATTCAATGGATGAGGGAGAAATGTCGATTTGATCGGTGGCAAGAAGAATTGCTCATTGTCCAGGAAGAAATGAAGAGAGTCAAACGGTACTTTGATTTCCAGGCAAGTGACTGGGAGACCCGCTCAAACACTAAGGATTTGCCAGGCGGACACGTCGCTCTGGCAAACAGGAAACGAGGGATGTGGCATGCGTTGTCCCGCCTGGCGGATGAGACCTTCAAGGGTTTACCACCCCATCCGCCGCTTGTAGATAATAACGAGTGATGTATCGATACATATCGTCTCTCTGATCTCTGCTCTCTCTAATCATCTTCTGGGACAATCTTCTTTTCTACGTCACCGGACAACTAAAATATACACCGTGTAGATTACAGCGGTTGACCAAATCCACAGTCACCCAGCGCTTTACTCATATTCTGGAGTGCCACTCCAATGGTATTGAGCCCGCTGCTGATTTCTGTGAATGCCTTTGAGACGTCATCTAATTTATTATGAGGCGGATGACAAGCGCGGATACAACCAATGTAAAGCTTACTTGATATAGTGGATTCTTTGGACTCACGATGGTCGCTGGGCACGTAGTCGTCATCCGATTCTGGCGGCGGGTTCCACGCGGACGGAGGAAAAAATGCGCCGCCTGCACGGGGGTAGGTCTCCCTGGGCTGGGGGGGTTATTAGCTAAGTTGCAAAGCACCTGGCAGTTGACTTGCCAGGCGGGTGCCAATCCCAATGTCGTCCGCGTTCCTATCAGTACGTGTTTGTGTTTGGTAGTGGGTCAACGTGATTGGACAGATGCTTGACGTACTCAGGGCGTTCAAGGTCAATTATGTCTTGAGGTTTGCACGCAACAGTTTGCCGCCATAATTTGGCGGATCCCTCGTGCAGCCCCATCCACCACCTATCTTTCATCTCCTCGTCCCCGTTCCGGCGGACCCATTCAGCGTACCATACCTCTGAGACGAGTCTGGTCGTCTCGTCGAGAACATGAACAGTAGGGTCCCATCTCAAGTCAAGTGCGCGGTCGAAAATAACTGGATAAATGTAAGGCAGATCGAGATTGCGCAGTGTGGCGAGGAGTTTGCCCGCGAGATGCTGATCATGGATCAGTCCAATAACAAATCAGGAGATATATGGAGATCCGCCGCGGCAGTGCCTCCGCTCCGGTGAATCAATCATCCGCCGAGTCGATGTATGCGATGGACTCAGGGAGGCGCCGACAAGCGGATCATTGATCGGCGGATCCGCCGGATCGGCGGATGGAACTGAACTTTTAATTATCACTCACCACTTCCTCCTTCCACGGCGGAAGGAAAGCCTCCGGGAGAGCCCTCCTCCGTTCCCATGCACGGATCGCAAGATACAGGCGGACCGCAACAAGGTCGACCAACCGTTGGACGCCTTGCCCGTCCAACCGAATCGTACGCTGTTCTTTGAATAGATACTTTGGTTCAGCTAGGACTAGTTCAACCAACTCGTAATCGTTCCCTGGTGCTGGAACCGTTCGTGATTTGGTCAAGAGGATGACCGTTGATCTTGCCCATACCGGTGGTTCGTGGAGTGAAGGCATGTATATGGGCTGTTGGGGTTGTTGAAGGCAAACGTCTGGTGGAGGGAACCTGGGGCGAGGGGTTTATGTACCGGCAAGAATCGGCATCACTGTGAGAATATCGGGCAAATTTGACGGCATTACGTAATGGAAAGTTCTTCTATCAGATTTGGCAAGTGGGCACGAGGCAGGAGATAAGGGTCCACAGCACCCAGGGGCATCCTTGCCTTCTCTCTCCCATCACCTCCACCATGGATTACGACGGTACCGTCACGCTCTCCCTTGCCCTAAGAGTTATCGTGCTCAAACAACACCATAGAATTAGGTAGCCCCACTGACGCGCCGGAGGAGCCGAGGTCCGTCGACAAGGGCAAAAAACCGGCAATCTCTCTGGGCATTGGTGGGCAAGCTCCCAACTTCGCGGAGCTCGCAAAGTACGGAGAAGACGACGATATGGGTGCGTAGCTATTTCATCTCTACCCCTCCCCCAAGGACCGATCGTAATGGCGCTAGATAACGACGACGATTTGGACGCTGCGTTTGCCAATATCGCGAAGCGCATGGGGAACGCACCGGCAGGCGAGGCAGTCCCGTCCGCCGGTAAGAACAAAACTAACAACACCGCGACCTCGGCGGCTCCGTCGACCTCGGATGGCCCCTCAGCGGACCCTGCTACAATGGACGCAGAGATGTCTGTGGATAAGAAGGCGGGGAAGGCGAAGGCCGTGCACTCCACCAAGCCGAAGCAAAAGGTCGTCCCGGGCAAAACCTCAGGTGAGGCGTCCATTACAATTGGTATGTTATATTCCCCTTAGAGATCCAGAAGCCGCCCCGTCGTCAACTGCTGCCTCAACCTCGCGCGCGGCTGTCTCCTCCCCGGGTCCCCAGCGTGAGCCTCAGGGTGACTCAACCTCCGGTAAGCGGAAGGCGTCGTCTCCTGTACATGCAAACCCGATTGCCAAACGTCCTGCAGTAGGCTCCGCTGGTGGCGAGCGGAACACTTTGACGATTCCCTTGGGTGCCCAGAGCGTACCAGGAGCTGGCGACCGCAAGAGTCGGTCAAAAGACCTCTCTTCGGCGGACGACGAAAGCGCGGCGATGCGAGATTTCCATCGCCAAACCGACTACCTCTTGCGTTTCGTTACGCCGTCCGCCATCGTAGACTTCCTGCAATCCGCCGAAAACGCCTTTGGCAACGATCTGGTCCGTGGCTTCGACGTTGTTGGTGAGCAGGTTGTGGGCAGGGCAGAACAAGCCGCGGACAGCGGACAAGGCACTTCGTTCACAGTGAGGTGCCCTGGTGGCCTCGCGCCCAAACACGTTTGGCTCGAGTACGATTTTTAATCATCTTGCATATATCTCTCAACGCACGTGCTCCGGCAATAACATGTGTTTATGCCAATTCCATGTCCTGGGTCAGTTGCAAGTGACATGTATGAGCGGACAGTCAGCACATTGGTCATCCACCTCAGCCTACTGGTTCTAGACACCAATTTCGGCGGATGCAGGAGCCGCCCATATCATTTCGTTGAATTTGAGACCCATCCGCCCAGTACGTCAACTTGTACACCGGCGGATGTGTTTTCGCTTTCGCTAGTGCCCAAATCTAGCCTCTTCATGGTTTCATCTGTTTAAGTCTCACTTTTTCATTTCAGTGTCTACTTGGGCATCAACTCATGGCCTTCGTCCGCTCCCAAAGCCCAGGGGCAGTCGAGCCCCATCCGCCAACACTGATGGTGTATCATCCGCCAGCAGCCCATCCGCCTATATTGCTCGTCAGCCTGCACTGATTGCAACATTCACCTCCATTCTCCAGTGTACCCCCAAAAAAACTGCTGCTAATCCATCCGCCGATAACGCTTGTCGACCGCCACCGCCCATTCGGTCATATCATAAATTTCATGAGCTG